AATTCGTGTTTTCATCACTAACAACTAATATTTCTTTTGTGTTTTCATCACTAACAATCAATAATTGTTGTTCCCAAATTCTGCGAGTCCTACTCGTGAGCATTCGCCCACATCCAGTTCGATGTTATGCTATGATGGATTGTGAATTTTCAGATGAAACTCTTACCACTATTTAAATAATCATAATGAAGAAACAAGTGCATCTGATGTTGGATCTGCACCTAAAACAAGTGTACATGATGTATCAAGCTGTCGACGTTGACGGCCAAAGAGTCAGCGAGGGTCCGCTATTCATTTGATTTCATGGGGATTATCTCTATTAACTTATGTTTCACCTGGACCGGGTTGGCTTCAATCGGAAGTCTATTTGTTTGACTCTGCATGTATGTTTACAAGTTGCAAATAGCCTGATTGTATCAGTTCTTGCTTGAAGAAAGACCAACCAGTTTATGCCTTGTGTCTGTACATTTATGCAGTACAATCCAGAGCTCAATGCATCAGGTACGCACTAGACACAAACTTTTGCTCAGTTTAGTTCCTGTGTAGTGTTAAATTATGGTGAACTATATTCGTTACAAATGGTAAGCTAAAGCAGATTAAAGATGATAAATTCGCTCAAACCACATTCTGTTGCAAAACTGACGTGAAGCTGCACTTCAATGGCCCTGCTGACCCTCTCTTTTCAAGCATCAGCCTTTTTGTTCCCATTTTGTGGGATTTATAGGAAGAAGACATGAGGTGGAGTACTTCTTCTTAAGATAACCCTACTCAATATATACTAGAGATTGCTATTTAAAAAAGTTGTTCTGAAGCGTCTCTTCAAGGCCTGGGAGATTATCAATTTTTGTGTACATGTTACTTTTGTATATTATTAATACAACATTTTGTAGTCTACAAGGGATCTGCGGGAATTTCATAGTGGCAAATAAAGAATGAATCCAATGGGATTCATTTACTACTATACATAAATTAGTTAAATATATTGTATCTTGTGGATTAATTTCTTGGTAGACTAGGTGTAGTTTATTTTCCAGTTTTGACACATACTTACCTATTTACCTAATGTGGTTATGTTTCATTTTGTGGCTAACCACGTGAAAGTATGGAGGTTCAAACCGCTGCTGATGGCACTGCCAACATAGATAGTAGTAGCAGTCAAGACAATAACTTTTTGGACAAAGAATACAGTGACTTCATGCAAGGTACTAACTTGATTCATGAGGACTGCTACCATATATATGCACACAAAGTTCTTCAAGATTTCTTTGGAAGGTTCAACATTTCCCTCGGGAAGCAAATATTGTGGCCCATGAGGTTGCTAGCGAAACCAAATTTACTGCCCCTTGAACTTTGTTGGACAATCCACCTAAATAGCATGTATCTTTTTTAGCTAATGATGTAACAATCATCGAGTAATAAAAATATTTTTTCTATAAAAATAAACTTACCTTTTTTACTGGCATAGTGATTTTGGGAATTGATGGTTGAACTGAATAATTGCATTTTTCCTTTTGGTCTTTCCTCCCTGTGTCGTTCGCCTAGCAAATATTTGTTTTACTTAATATTTTGTTGAAATTAGGAAATGAGATTCAATATTGGTGCGACAAGTCCCTTGACTGAAGAAACAGGAGGAGTACGTCAGGGGAGGCATCGCTGGGAGGCTCTGGGCAGGGGCATGAGAGGTGTGAGACGAATGAGGAGGCGAACCAGAGAAGATGAGTAGATCGAGATGGATATGGGCAAGGATGAACGGGAGGTTATAGCGAAAATGTTGTGTGTACGACAGAAACCTGTCCGAACTCCATACGGCGTACATCAGGACCGTGCATCAAGCGCAACTGATGGCCCACATGCATCGTCGTATGATTATCATACGCATAGTACAACTCATGTTATAGAGCCGTTAGCCAACCATGCTAATTTCCGGTGTGTGCGTTGACCTCCGTTGCCATGACTTAAATGAAGAGTGTGTGTATGCCTGTGTCACCCTCCATTTTCATATTTGAAGTCCACACAAGCTAGGTGGCCGAGGTGTAGAGAGAGTGACTTTTTTGTTAACCTTTTTTTGGCCAGAGTGGATGTTTGTGAAGACTCCTTTCCCCGGTGACGGTGATGAGATGATGGAATATATAGAAATTTGCTCAACTTCCATTATTATATCCTTAATATAATATAGTTGTCAGTTGCAAATGATGTTTGCGGGATCATATAATATAGAAATTTGCTCAACTTCCATTTTGCATGTGGTGATTCATAATTCCATATAAGCATCAGGGGTTGGATCATGCAGAATATGACCATATTCATATATATTTCATGTTTTCACTGTTCAGATAGGTGGATGGATAATGTCAATGTTTCTAAAAAAAGACAGTGGACACCTACCTACCATGTTTTTTTTATAAAATTAGCATCTTTATCATAGCGAAATGCGAATGAGTTGCGCTCGCCCAACGTCAATTTTTTTCTTCCGTTGCAACGCACGGGCGTATATCCTAGTAATTACATAGGATACAAGATACAGGAGTACAGGATGAACAGAAACCATGAACCATTACATACTATATATACTACCGAGAATCAGAAGGACACTACCGACAGACAAGAGAAAGCATGCATGAACCATCAGGGCGGGTCTCATCGGTGGCGGCCTTGTTTAACTTGGAGTCTTGGAGGACTTGAACTTGCCGGCCTTGTGGGCGGTCTTGTTGTTCTTGGGGAGCAGCACCGGGTTGATGTAGGGTACGACGCCGGCCTGGGCGATGGTGACGCCGGCGAGCAGCCTGCTGAACTCGTTGTCGTTCCGGATGGCCAGAAGCAGGTGGCGAGGGGTGATGAGCTTCTTCTTGTTGTCCTTGGCCGCGTTGCCGGCCATCTCCAGGACCTGCATGCATGCATGCGATGCGATTCAAGAAAAGCCCGCCATAAAGGAAAGGAAGCCGGCCGCTCAATTAAAGTCGTCATCCGTGGCGTGGAAGTGGAACACGAGGAGAAGAAGATCACTTGGTCGAGGAGGGAGGAAGGGAGGGGAAAGGAATCGGATCGGTTGTGACCTCGGCGACGAGGTACTCGAGGACGGCGGCGAGGAAGACGGGGGCCAGCGCCGCGACGCGACGCGCATAGCGGCCCTGCCTGAGGTACCGGCCGACGCGGCTGATCGGGAACTTGATCCCGGCCTTGAGGGGCCACGACGTGCCTATGTTCCACAGCGCGCATCGTATCCTCCTCTTGACTTCTTCTTCTTCTTCTTTTCTTCTCAGGTCGGCCGGCGACGGGGAACTAACTGCAGCCATCGTCGTGTTATTTTGGCGCTGGATCGGAACTGCTTCGATTGGTGGATTGGATTTGGATGGGCGTCTAGGGCGCGGGTTTCCTTCCTTTATATGTGGGGCGCGATCCGTGGGAGGGTCAAATCCTCCAATCACAACGCTCGTGCGTGCGTGTGTCCAGTTACCATGCATGCACGATCTAGATCTCCGTTACGTGGATGCGCTAACTTCCTATTCTCTTTTCTCTTCTTCTTTTCCTCGATCGTTTTTGGCTGAGGGAGACGGAATTCGAAATTTGGGGAACCGGGGGAATGATGCATGGATAAACGAAATTCATTTACAGCTTTGTTTGGCACCTTCGATTCATTTCATTTGGTTGAAATCAAATGAAATGCAGTTTCTGCACAGCTCACTTGGCACCCAGGTTTTCATTTTATTTGGTGGAAATGTATGAAAACTCGCTCCTCGGAGGATTTCATTTGGTGGGATTTGGATTTCAAGTCCAATTTTCTTGTTGTCCCACTATTCTCCACAAATGCGCGATCAGCCTTTTGAGGATCTAGAACCTTCATTACCCGAAAAAAAATCGAACGAGCATTCGTGGCCCTAACAACCCCTCCAGCTAAAAGCGTTCGTTCCATAAAATAATCACAGTGCACATACTTTTTCCTTCTCCATAAATCTCATCCATGATTCATGTTGCCTTTAGCTCTACAATTGTTGATGAGCCTCTGCATCATCCTACTCAAAAAGAAGGGTGCAATAGACTAAACCTCTTGGAAAGAGATGCAAGTAAAGTAGAACACATATTTTCCTAATGTGACATGCAGTAAAATGTTCAATATGTGGGAAAATCAAAACATGGGCTATAAAAATAACTCTATAATAGCCAAGTTAGATGATACTCCCGCCGTCCCATAATGTAGGATGTTTTTTGACACTAAAGCGTCTTACATTATGGGACGGAGGGAGTAGCTCAGAACTTCTTCAGTTAGCAGTTAGCACAATGAATCTGGATAAAATAGTGGGCTAGCTAGTCCTCTCTTCTGGTTGCCTAAAGATTGCACTATTGTCGAAGTTAAGCAGTGATTGCTTGTCACGGGAAAACAAATTTAGAAATAAAGACATTAGACAAAAACATCACCCCGCGGTGGCGAAATTTCTCAGGTCTGGCAAGAGACGTGATTGGGAGCGATGTGGGGGAGAATGGGGCGTGGGGGGCTCGTGACTTCGTGGGTCGTGGGAATTACTTTCTGAACGTGGTTGGGGCCTGGAGGATCGGTGGGCTAGGTTGGAGGGAGGGTTGTTCGTTGCATGCGTGGGCTCATACGAGGGGGGTGGGAGAGGAGATTGAACGAGGGGCTGCGTGATGGCTGTCGTACGAGGCGGGGGGATCGAACGAGGAGAGGTGGAACCATCACGACGTTCGATCCCCCTTTAATAGTAGAGATTCTCGGCATATTGAACGAAAAGCTCTCAGCTTACATGAAGAGTCCTTAAAAAATATAACAGATGTCTGCTAAACTAAACGACGACTTTGAGAATCTACAAGTAGTACCCTGAATCCAGTGTTGATTTTTTTTATCCAAATCTGAATAAGAAGGACAAGATGAGAATGAACCCTTCTCTTGTATAACAGCTGGTTCGTGCGCCAGCTAGGCGCCGTTGACTGCGTGGTGTGGATCTCCCTTGCTCGTATCTTCCTTCTCAGTTCAGTGCAGCGAGCAATCGATTTGTTGATATCATTCCTTCATGTGGAGCTAGTTCCATGTTGATATTTAGTGCTTTGGAGTTGAAATGCAGCATGAAGCTTAGCTTAGTGTGTTCCACAAGAATTCTAGTCTTGCAGCGTATTTGTTTCTTTGTGGATACGTGGTAACTGACGGCACCCCAACCTTGTTCTGTGAAGTACAGAAGAAAAATGATGCATCTGGTCGATCGCATACCACTAATAATCAAGTAGTTGCTTTCAGTTACTTGAGTCATTCATGTATGTGCATTCTAATGGCTCCCTTGCTATTGTTTGGTTTCTTTACTAGCTACTAGGAGTTGCGGGATCTTTTCATTTTGGTGGACATTGAATTCCCATGCTATTCTTTTAAGACAGATCCAGATTGATCCTTTGTTGTTTGCGTAAGAGAGGCTCGGCATAGTTATCAAATGATGGTTGTGTTAGGGCATGTACATTAGTGTAGACACCTGCTGTCTATAACAACGCTCCATGTCAGCTCTAGACAGCACTAAAAATTCCCTCTACAATGGACCAACTCTTTTGCTATCTATTAGGAGGAAAGGTTTCCTCTTTTTGAGAATGTTAGGAGGAAAAGATCGATCAGGATTGGACTTGTGGAGCAGGAGATTCAGCGGTTCGGCTGGGTCGTGGGCACAAACAGAAAATTACCGACGGTGCGCATGTATAACGGCAAAAGTCTATCGATAACGATCGATATTTTTGGGATACTGATCGTCTGCAAAACTACAGACACCCTCCTTCTCTTACCTCATTCTCTCTCCTCCACCTAGATAAATTTATGACGTGGTAGTTGTTATAGACAGCTGAGTAGACATCACTGTACATGCCCTTAAACAGACTTAATTTGTGCTAGGGGTTTATGTAATGATATTTCTTACTTGGTGATTAAGGTTGTAAGGCAAACTGCTTTGGGGACTTGTGCATCTTCTCATTAATTAGTAATTACTAGGACTAGCAAATATGCACAATAAGCATAACTCAAAACTCTCAACAGGTCCATGTTATATATTTCAACACGTCACCCCACCTATAGTGCCTATCCTCCTTGCCACCCACACCGACGATGATAGCGGTGTTTGCCTGAGCACAACGCATCTGAACATGGTCAATCCCACGTCAATGAGCTCGCCACTGCATGTTACACCCTTCATTGCGCCTACGCAAGGGAATAGTTCAAAATCAAAACTTTAGTGCCACTGTGTCGAAACCGCCTTCCGCTATGGCTTATTACCAAGATATTGTTTTGATTTGGAAGTGGTATTTAAAATATGTGGATATATTGCATACGAACTCCTACAGACGATGGGATGTGCTTGTCTCAAACCAAATGATGAACAGAAGAAACATAGATTTTTTTTCTCGAAAACTAACACATAAATAAAAGACCATGCATGGCTGCGTTCCGTGAAAGCCCATCAACGCACAACTACATCACCCAAGCCAACTTAGCATGTGTGCCAGCGAACCCATCGTGTAGGAAACTTTAGCGTAGAAAATCGATTGGTCCCTATTTTGGTCTGAACAGTTATCGTAGATCCATTAAATCTCAACCATCAATATTTACGATTTACATAAAATCAACAGATATAAAAACATGACTTATGGAGAACCAGAAAAGGCTCCGTACTTTAATATTAGGTATAGAAGCACGACTGATTCAGTAGACACGAACATGTTGAATAACTAAGCTTTTGAAATTCTTTCATAGTTAAAACGGCAGCAATATTGGAACTTTGACTTGACTAGATTAACCGTGGAGGAAAAACAAATCACCCAGAGAAAACAGATCGCCTAGGTCGCTCCCACATGCGGCTGGGCGAAACCCTAGCCGCCGCCCGCACCTCTTCCCTGCCACCTACTCCCCTCGCCGTCGCCGGAGGGATCTGTCGGGCGAAGCCTAGCTGGCGTTGGCGTCGGCGGCACCCCTTATCCCTCCTCCCCTAGTGGCTACAGCACGGGACATGGTGAGCGGGCTGGGAGCATGGCCCTCCCGCAGAGTGTTGCGGCGGTGTCGGCCGGGCCTTGGGTGCGACGGTGCGTGGACGCGGCGGCGGCTGCGTGGTGAAGGTGGCGGGGCGGGCTGGCGCTGCATGATGGCAGGGTGGCTGGTGCCGGTTCCGTCGGATCTAGCGCTAGGAGTCGCGGGCTATGGGCAGCGAGGGCCGGTGTCCTCCATTGTGGCAGCGATTACATCAGCATGTTGGAGGCAACCGTGTGGTGGCGGTCCTTGTGCTCTTGTCGCATCACGGCAACGATCCTCCTCGATCCGGCCTTCGACGTGTTCCGAAACTATTGCCGGACATCTTGCCCAAGAATATCTGGATCCGATAGTATCCGGTCGTGTGCGTCCATATCAGACTACATGGCTCCAGGAGGGTGTGGCGCGAAGTTCTGTTTTTTGTTGACACCATGGGACATGTCGGCATCTCGATTTCCATGGCACAGGCAATGGCGAAGAATGTCTTGAAGACTAAGATTGGAGGATCAGTAAGGCGGAGGGGGCCTTCAAGGCGATGGAATCAGCCGGGTGTTTGATATATTTCATTAGTACCAGTGTCAATTGGGGGTGCTCCTCGGGTGCCAAGTCATGGCTTTCAGGATGAAAATCTAAGGTTTGTCCTTCATTGGTTGTGCATGGCAATTGCCTTATTAAAGGTATTGTTTTGAGAGTTCGGTCTTTCTCTAGGGTGAAAACCTATAATCTTGGATCGGGAGACGGGGCGCTTGTTCAATGTCTCCTTCTTGAAGGCATCACTTTTAGAGGTCTCTTATGTTTTCCGGGTGCTGTCTTTGGTGGTGGTTGGGTACTGATGCTGAGGGGAGTTGGTCACTTTGGCGAGGCCATTTTTTTCCTTTCTTTTTTCTTTTCTTTTCGGGATGTGTGCATCCTGGATGTTTTTGTGACTTCTTGTTGGTGGAGAGGCTGGGTGTAATGGTATCTCCGTGATATTAATATATTCCTCTTTTCAAAAAAATACTGCATTAATATTTGTTATTTTTATGCAGTGTGCAATGGATTTTGAATCCACCCAAATACTACGGCAGTTTCCAAGAGAAATTACACAATACTTAGTTGGTGTAAATGAATTTCTCGAGTTTGCATATAAAAATATACCAGCAGAAACAATGATCCTATGTCCATGTCCGATGTCACACTTCACTACTATCAAGGGATGATGTCCGTGGCCATTTGATGCGGAATGATATGCTTCAAAGCTATGATAAATGGGTTTTTCACAGTGAGTCTTCATCCGAACACAATGATGATCAA